CACACACGCACACGCGCACACACGCACACGCACACACACACACACACACAAACAAACACACACACACACACACAGACACACACACACACACACACCGCATGTACATTGACATGTATGCATGCTTACATGCGAACAAGTGCACATGAGTAGCAACGGCAGCCACCACCAACAACAGCCCTACCCAACAGAGACAACACCGAAGGGTGACAATGAAAACATCAACGAGACCGCGTTGATGAAAACTCTGGGGCATTGGCACCAGCTTCGTTGCCAGCGCCCAGACCAGCAGTGGCTCGAAGAGTGGAAATTTTATCATCTGCACACAAAGGCCTCTGCATAGCTTCGCAGCACTCGGGGCATTTAGGATGATGAGAGCTTGAATTGCCCTGTGACTCTGGTGGCTGGGAACGTCAATGTGCCGGCGTGTCTGAATGGAGTGTTGTCGCTCCTGGCATTCACAATCTTGAGCATTCCGGCCTTCGGTCGCACCCAAGTCAACGCCTCAACACTGCTCTGAGTGCTCGGCTCACACCGAGGAAGCAGCGAATCTGGGGCGGCTTGCAGCCGGCATAAACTCGGCGACGCAATATGCGATCCTGGCCACAGACGAACTCATATGCCGCACCGACATGTGCAAATGCCTGCTGTATTTGTGAGAACACAGAAACCTCTGATTCCCCAAATCCCATGGTTGGACCCTGTGTAACACGGCACTCCACAGAAATGCCACGAAGGCTTCAAAACTCTGTGGCTCCAAACCCCGGGATGCAGCATCAGAGCAAATTCCAGATGCAAGTCCGACCACTGAATCACTGAAGTCGGAATCACGCGCATCAACAAAAGCCTTGAGGGGATCCACAACAGCAGTCAAGACGGCCATGACCTTATTCGTAAAGACTTGGGTTTAATTTCGTGTGACATGGGACCAGCTCTTATGTTTCGCGCTCGGGCTTTCACATGCTGATTGATTTCGAGCTTCATAATTTGAGCCTGGGTCTGGCTGCAGCTTAGGATGCGGGTGGGGGGACAGATTTCGAGGCTGGGAGTGCCGCAAGACCTAGTTGCCGACACCAGCTCTGTCTTAATTAGGCCCACATACATGTTGCAGTCCCTGACACATGCGGTTTGGTCTTTCTTCAAAAAACTTTCACGAAAGCATGTTCGACTCGGTCGAATAATCAGATCATGCCTGGAAACGCCCGCAACTGCCCCAGAACTCGTCCAGCCGAGGAGCCCGCCCCAGAACCCCGTCTGAGTCAAGGCGAGGCTTTGCTGTTTTTCGATCAGGCGTTTTGGAATGCGTTCTTCTTCTTCTCGCTTCGTAGGCCGTCCAGCCGGGCTTGGCCGTCAGCGTTTCACAGTCCATTTTTAGCTTGCAATGGTCGTACCTGTTGTCGCATGAAGCTTTGCCTCCTGTTTCTCTCGTCTGCTTGCCATTGTTCTTATCTGTTCATGTTTTTGGCATGGAGTCGGGTCATTGATGCCCGGTGTTGAAGATTTGCCTGTCTTGTCCTCCATGGTGCTCACATCCTGTCTCCCCTGTCAGTTCTTTTCTTGCCTCTCATGTCGACTGTTTCCGCACCTCTACTTGCATTTTACACTGTATTCCCTGCGTCCTCCTTCTCTTCGGGAGTCTGTACTGTATTTTGCCACAGCATCATCTACTGAGATGTTCTGCGCAAACTGCGATATATTGCTAGATGCAACAAGGTATATGATCGACGATGATACCCTATGTTCGCTGTCTTGTGCAAGGAACTGACAAGATGTTGTCCGTTTGCATTCGTAACAAATCGTAATGCGCTATCATATACTCGCCTATACTTCGAGCAGGTTGGGACAGCGGCCCCTCAAAAACAAGAAAACGCGTAAGCCTCACAAGACCTTACCCTGAACGATTCGGGTGGTAGATTGAAAAAGGGCGGGTCGGCAAACCGCACAAACCTAGTACAAGGTAAAATCAGCGACCCCTCAAGAGGCGAAGCTGACAAATCCTACACTTAAAAAGTTTGCGCCCATCCAGCGGCACCGCATCGTAAAAATCATCAATCAAATCCATGGCCCTGAACAAGTAGGGATAACAGCCCCCTGAACTGGCACGAAACAAGCCCTGAAGGCGAAACTTGGCGTAATGACTGCTGTCCAGCGGGCACGGTAGGGATAGCGGGTCCCTCCAGAGACGCCGTGTAATACACCAAACAAACGCCACACCCTAGAAGGTCCGACTATAGCACAGGGTTGGCAAACCACACAAACCCGGAGCCCTGAAATTCTGGAATAATGGCCTCCTTCCGGTGGGGCGGGTGGTAAAGTACACCCAAAAGGCCGTGATATGCCGTGATACATGCGTGGGGTGGCAAATCACACAACCACTAAATCTTCGAAGGTTGGGTAGTGGCCCAAGTTTTGGCATGGCAAAGAACACAAACCATAAACCCTACATGACAGCGGCCTGTAGATGGGCAAACTGTACAACGTTGTGGTACCTTCAAACTTTTCAGGATTGACCGTGGGGTCTAGCTCGGCGCAAAAAATGAGCCCGGCAAATTCCCAGCCAACAGTGCAACTTGTAACTCGTAGCTCACCAATTTTGTCGCGAAATTCGACACTCGAGATCTCAGAATCCATCCAGGCCAGGCCAAGCCAAGCGAGGCCATGCAGACGACCGCGACAAAAACCCTGAAGCCTTGAAAGGTTGGGGTAGTGTCTCCTCACCAAACCCGGCAAAAACACACACAAACGCTGAGCCCGACAAGGTTGAAGTGGTGTTCTGCTGTGCTGGACTTGGGCAGTTGGGATGACACCCCAAGACAATTACACAAATCGTACAAGGTGGGGGAATGGCCCCTGAAGGAAGTGAGAGTTCGCGATTCAACCAGCGCAAAAAACCGTAAAGCCCACATATCCCACACCCTGAACCGTCGCCCCCAAAGCACAAAGTGACACACCACAGTGTTGGTCAACGTCGAGCCGGCAAACTGCCTAAACCCTAAAATTTTGCCTCAGAGGTCGGTCTCGCAAAGCGCGCAAGCTAAACCCTGAAATCGTCCCCCGTCAAAGCGCGGGGTGGCAAACCACGCACATTCCCAAAACCTGGAGTACCGCCCATCATAGCGAAAACAAGCCACGCATATCCAACCTCCTATCAATCCAGCCGTTTGATCGCTCGATATTGACCAACATTGCGGTTAGTTTCTTTGTGTTTTGATGGGCGACGTTTCAGAGTTTGGGGTCTGTTAAGTTTGCCACCCCGCGCTGCGAAGCAACGTCGTGACGTTGAGGGTTTAGGGTTCATTAGTGTGCGCGCGGTTGCCCGCTCGATGTCGACCAACAGTGCAGTTGGCTACTCTCTGTTTTGAAATTTTGAAGGCCGACGTTTCAGTGTTTGGGCGTTGTTTAGATTGCCACCGGGCTCTGAAGAGCAACGTTTAGTGTCTTGGGATAAAGTATAGGGTGTTTGCGGTTTGATATTGACCAACAGTGTAGTTTGTTAGTTTGTTACTTTGTGTTTTGAAGGAGACGTTTCGGAGTTTGGGCTTTGCTTAGATTGTCACCCCGGGCTCTGAGGAGCAACATTTCGGGTTTAAGGTTTAGGGCTAATTAAAGTGGTTGCGCCTTGCTGGCTCGATATTGACGAACATTACTGTTGGTTACTTTGTGCGTTGAGGGGCGACGTTTCAGGGTTTGAGCTTCGTTTAGCTTGCCACCCCGAGCTGCGAGGGCAACGTTATACGGTTTACGGTAAATTGGGGTGTTTCACCAACAAAACACAACGGAACAATCAATCTACCGTAAACCCAAAAACGTTGCCCCTCACAGCTCGGGGTGGCAGACTAAACAAAGCCCAAATCCTGTCTGAAGCGGACAAGGGGCAGAGCTCGACAAAAACATGCACTCCCACCCCACCCAGAAAGCCTGGGTGCGGCCAGAGCCCCTCGCCCCAACTCAAATCACCAAAACGCAGGGTCACACCCTGAATCACGTCGGGCTGTCTTTGGCTCGGCAACCGAGAAGACGATGTAGTCAATCGTTCCCTCATTGTCAACTGGCATCAACAGGTCTCGCCGCCGGGCCTCGCCTCCCTGGTTCAGTCGCATGAAAACCACGTCTCCGCAACCATTCCGGGAAAGCACTCCGCAGCCCACAGCCCAAGCTTGAGTCAAAGTGAAAAGGTAACGGTACGTATGTGCTCGAATATTTCCCGGTCAGCCTCTTCCCGGGTCAGTTTCCGATGGCCTCGGAAAGCCACAAGCGGACTTGGCTCGAGAAAGCCGGTTTGCTGAAGCAGCTGGTGTCGGCTCACGACCCGCAGAACCAAGACAACCCAACAGACGTGGCTCTCCAGAAGCCAAACGAATGACGGCTGTTGCCGGCCCATGCATGCGTTGGCCGCCTGAGACGTGGCTCCTGGAAGCTAAACTGCAACACCAAAGGAAGAGTAAAACCACCGCCGCCCAGGAGGCAGCCTCCACACAGGTGGAGTGGGCTTCGGCTCTTCTCGCCAAGACGGCTGATGTGCGGGCTTCGGCATTAGCATGGGCAGGGGGTGTTGTTGCCGACCATTTCCCGAGCATAACCGGCTGCTCGGCATCATCAGCGGGGGGACCTGGGTGACGGAGAGGTCGTGCAGTGATATGTAGGCAGCTGCTGTCTGCAACATCCACCACCAACATCGAAACCGTGTCTGCCACCGGCTCCTCCTCTCCTCGGTCTCCTCCACACGGCCATGATTTCGAGAACTGTGATTCTCCTGGCCGTGATTGAGGAGGTTCGGCGGGACAGAGTCGGGAATGCAAGCCGGAACTCTCTTCAAAAAATGCTCGCACAGCACTGAGGCCTCCCTGTCTCTGGGGATGCCGGCCCACAGGGCCCGTGCCATGCAGGGCACAAGCACGCCTTCGCAAGCGAAGATCAACCCCTCCACCCTTCACCCTGCACGACGTGAAGTCCGAGAAGCTCCTGAAAAAGGCAGGCTTGGGGTGCTGAGGCTAGAGTACGATGCACACCTTGCTCTTTGACACTGATGTCAGGAGTCGGAGGCTTGCAATCCAATTGCCCGTGTGCCCGTGTAGGCTTGCCCAGCAAAATGTCCAGCAACCCACGCCCTTTGAGCTCGTGGCCGTCTCACACACGAAGTGTGGCAAGTCTGAGCACAAGAAGCGGGAGGCGGATCGTCGGCAACCCTAGTTCAGTCGTCTTGGCGAGTAGGGCATTCAGAGGGCAAGGAGCTCAAGCGCAGTTGCTCGGAGAGCACCTCAAGATCGAGAGGCTCCACAAGGGCCTTATCACTCAGCCACGTATCTTCTCAACCTTAGGGAAGATGCCCGACGTGGGGGAGAAGGAGCAGCAGGACGGCCTGCGGGACAAGGAGGTCCCGAAGGCAAGTACAGGCTAAACACAGCAGTGGAAGAGCAAGGGAGGCAGTGCGACGGGCAGGCGAGGCCCCACCAACCAGACTGAGACCCCGAAACGACAAACCCCAACAGGTGGGGCACCAAACTCATTCGAGCCATTCGCAGTCGCCCTCACTGTTTGAGCACCAAACCCGAAACGTTGCCCGCAGAGCTCAGGGTTGCAAACTAAACAAAACCCCAAACTTGATACGTCACCTCTCGACACACAGAGTTACAAACGCAGTGTTGGTCAATATCGAGCAGGCAAGAAGCGCAAACACCCTGATTAGCCCTAAACTGCCCAAAACCCCAAGATGTTGCCCCTCAGATCTCGGGGTCGAAAAATTATAAGCTAACTGAAACGTCGCCCATCATTGCGCGGGCAAACAGCGCAAATCCCAAGCTCCGAAACCTTGTCGCTCAGACCGCTCATACTGCGAACAAAACCCTGAAAGGGGGAGTGGAAAACGTTTCAACCTAACGACAAACACGACTACAAGGGCGAGGAGGAAACGCTGCAAGGGAAGCCGATTGCAAAAACCAAACTCTTTTGGGCTCACGTGGCAAGCCTTCAACCTCGGGAGTGGCAAAGTACCCCAGCGAACTGCAGTCGGGAATTGCAAACACGAAGCGGTCTGTGGACACCAGCGGGTGGGTGGGGACTAATCCCACAAAGGGAATTCCAAACCCCAAATCCTGGTGTGGATTTGCCAACCCGGCACCCGAAAGATAGAGGCAAACCCTCCAAACCGCTGAGGCAGGGAGTAGCAAACACGAAACCCCAAACGAGGGCAATGCCATGCCGTCCTTGAAGGGACAGGAACAACCCTAATAGGTTCGGATCGGCAAATCCTAACCTCGAACAGGCCGAGGAACAGCAAACTCTGAAATCCAACTGTGAGCAGCAAATCGCCCAACCCCAGAACCAAGCAGATGGGAGTGGCCACTTTCCGGCAGCAGTCTACCATCATAATACAATGTGGGGGTGTGTATGTGTATATATATATATACACATAAGTATTTGTTTATTTTTTATCTATTATTTATACAAATGTAAACTGAAATCTTGTAGAATCACACTCTACCTGTACAGCAAAGTGCGATATGCCTGAACAAATCCCCAACATGGCTTGTCTCTGGCGAATGTAAACTGTTCACATGCTGGAAAATGCAGCAACAGGCTGTCATCATGTTGTGTTGATGCACAACAACTAGAAGTTCTTGACATGTGTGTACAATCTGTGTAGCACACGTTGACATAATACATCCCTGATTAGATGCTACGATATACCATACGATAGAATGCCCTGTGCTATAGCGCACTACAAAAAACTGCTTTCTTATTCGCAACGCATGGCCGGTACTATCACATGAAACAAATTATGTAGGCCCCTCGCCAACGCCGCCACCACGCCGGCGGCGGCAGCAGAGCGCATGCTGCGAGTGGAGATCTCCTTCAATATTTGGCCTGTCGACACAAGCTGGGATGGTTAGGATTCCAGACAGCGTTTGGCGGTTTGGGGTTTAGCATCCAAGCATTACGGTAACGACCCCTGTTCGAGAAGAGCACGCCGTTCGACAACTCCTCCCCTGGGAATCTGTGACGAATACTAGCCGCGTTACTAGCCACCCTCAGTGGGTTAACCAGGGCGGGTGAAAGGCACAACATGCCACAACGTTCCTCCTTGTCATCGTGAAGGTTTGCAGACCGAAGCTGGTGCGATTTGGCAAAGCGTCGTGCAGACAATCAGATTTCGACGAAGTGGACAAGATCACGCTGGAACACTGTGACAGCGAGCCAGCACGGATGCAATGGATGTGAGGTCCGGGTTTAGGGTTTAGGGCAGCAGAAAGCAGCACTTGCGATCCGAAACAGATGACTCGGGGAAACAGCACCAAACCGTTTCGACTTAGAGACCCGCCCCCTTCCCCTCCTACCCCCTCCCCCCTCCCCCTCCCCAGCCCCTACCGTCAACCCTCGACCCCAACCCGAACCGGGAAAAAGCAAAACGCAAGAGGAGGCAGACTACACACCCCGCCTGCCACGGAGTAGTGTGCTTGGAGTCCCACTTGCGACGAGACCGTTGCCAGCGCTGGCGGGGACCTTTTGACTTCAGTGGGTTCCACAGGGAGCTAGTATGTCAAGCATGATCTCAGTTCCGGAGGCCCGCACCCGCAGAGTGTGTGTGGCTGCTGGTGCCTCGCAAGCACCTGAAGCGTGGCAGCACTGTGTCTGTTGCATAAGGTGGAGATCTTGCCTATAGATTTCGAAAAACAAAAGCCAAAACATCAGTCTCCAGGGTTCAACGCACCCGGAAAATTTAAGCGACGCTTTGAATTCCGTTGAAGCAAAGTCCGTGATGTTGATCGGTACTTTGTGGTGAAGACTTTCTTGTGATGTGAGGCCAGCCGGTGCCTTCGCATGATCCACGGTCCAGTGTCCACGGGATAACTTACAATTTGACTGGATCGATGTTGAGGAGGGTGTATAGTCAAATCGCTTTTTCACATGAAGAATAAGAAGGAGCTCTGTTGACCGGACTGGTTGCTGCTTCGAGGTTGCTGTCATTGCGCCAGAGCATCCGAACTCAACCAGCCTCAGCGATTTATCCTAAACCGGGAGCCCCAACTCAATTGAGTTCTGAACTCTTCGTGCTCTAGCACGCCCACGCCGTAACCCTGCTGTGGCCTCCCTGGTCGCCGGCGGATTGCTTCTGGGGGCAGCCAGCCTGCAGGTGGAGGCTGGCGATTCGTGAACTTCTCCCGGCTATTGCGCCTAAATTTGGCCGTCCCGAGCCTCGGCCCTGTGAAGACCAGTCCGGCACCTGCCAGGGCCAGGAGGCGAGCGGCTCGGCGCGCCATAGATCCTTCCCGGTCAATCTTGCTGAAAAGCAATTATATACATTTATTACATTTATATACATTTACATCTTCGAAGACAAGTAGCCAAGGAGGTACGTAGCAGTCTCAGCAGCAGCGGCAGCGGCAGAGGCTGTGGCCTCGGCTGCGGCAGCGGCAGCGGGAGCAGCGGGAGCAGCGGGAGCAGCGGGAGCAGCGGGAGCAGCGGGAGCAGCGGGAGCAGCGGTAGCAGTAGCAGTGGGCTTCCTAAATATTTAGCCTGGCATAACAACGATGCTCAACCAATCTGAGTGAAGTCTGGTCACTCAAATGTGCGACCCCTGAACAGAGTACTGACACACCGAACCCGAACGCGGAGCCGAAAACACCCTCTGCCCTTTGTCGAATCTCCTTTGAATCCTAACACCAAGTTGTCTTTCCTGGAGCACGGAGCAGAACAGCTGAGCATGTCTACCTGAACACTTAACGTGCCTCTGTGGGTCACAGCGAGGCCGGGATGTGTAAGTGGCCAAGCACTTCGAACCACGAAATCGGGCGTGGCTTCTGGGTCTGTGATCGAACCCTGTGCATGCAGGGTTCAGCAAACTTATCTTAAAGCAACGGGATGGGACTCGGAGCTCCAATCAGGGCCCAATTGTATGTGTAAGAAGCAGCTAGCGATTTAGCTGGCTTGGCTTCTGGCCTTTCTCGAGTGTACAAATGGCGTTTAGCTTGTGCTAACAAAAGTTAGCAGAGGATTAACTCCAAGACGGTAGCACGGCATGGAAGAGGATCGCATGAAATTGACAAGAGGAGGGAGGCTTAACAAGCACGAAGACTGCATCCTCAGACCCTCTGCAAATGCGGGCATTCGCCAGAAGAGCAGCCCTGCAAAGCTGGAGTCCTCAAGAACGCAACGAAACAACCCACCACTACAAATAAGACTGCAAGTCAAGGCAGAATTAAAGCTATGACTACTTCTGCTCCTGCGACTGTTGCCACTGCCACTACGACGACGACCGGACTGACACCGACTGCACTATTCTTGTGGTCCTGGTTGCGCAATTTTTACAGCTGTCTTGTCCACGTACCATCAACATCATCAACGCTAGTTGTCAGCTTTCCACTGCTGCTGAAACTGATAATTACCAGAACAGCAGGAACTGCTACGACTATCACTGTTGTTTGCTGCTTGGTGCTATACTCTTTTCCTGCAGTCTCTCTCCTTGCTTTCAGGCGCCTCCCGCAGCCCCGGTCTCGTGCGCACGGGCACCAAGGCGAAGGGCGCTTCGAGTTCGCAGGGTTCCCTGGGCAGTTGTGCCGATTCGGAAGGTATTCCACCTGACCTTTGGTTTCTGGACTGTACGGAAGGGTTTGCATTCGCTCCATTCCTAGACTTGAAGTCAAGGATCCGACTTCTTGTCCAGAACTACTAAATGTTTTGAGTTTTGGGCGCAATTGTTTCGAGGTGTAGGGGCATTAGGAGGTACAGCTTGAAGTTTGTGAGATATTGTGACAGCAGGTGCGGCCTGTGCCCTGCACACACTTTATCCAGCTCTGGCCCACGGAGGTGCGGGTGGTTCAAGCCGATGGAAAGCTGCTGCTCAACCTCCTCGAAAGACTGTGACAAGTGCTGAATGAACCCCAACCCACCTGCTCAACACTTTCCCTACAGGCACGACCCTGAGAGCGGCTGGGTCCCGCGCAGGATGCAGCTCTGCGAGAGACTCATGAGCAGGTGGAACGGTCCAAACCAGGGCATCGGGCGCACGAAGCCAGTTCGAAAGTCCATTCAAGCGTTCAATCTGATGGTCCACAACTTGATTTTCGAACTGGCTTCGTGCCAGAGCACCCAGCAGGTGTCCAGGAGCAGTTTTTTACCAAATGAGCTTCCAAGGATTGCTGTCATGCTACGAATGCAGTAGCATCCAGCAATCTTCATCTTGGAAGGTCAAGAAACAGATTCATCAACTGACCTCACTCACTGCAAGTTGTGCCATTGAGCTTCAGGAATGTTTCTTGCGGAGTGACAGTGCGCGGTATAGAGAGACAAAAATCAATAAGCTGGCTTCCGGATAGTCCTTTGCCTAGCTGCAAGATGGTTCAGGCAACTAGGGAATCTAGCCAGGGCTTCAGGGTTCAGTATTTGCGGCTTGTCACGCCAAGCCCACGCAATCTTTGGAGAACCCGTTCGGAGCAAAACTGCTGTGATCTTTTGGCCAGTCTTTGAGACGATCCAAGTCGCCCCGGCGAGCCGCACAAGCAGGGCGGTGGACAGGAAGATGCACAACGTCTCCGAGCCATGGTCCAAGCAAAATGCTACGTTGTCCCAGTCTGCCTTGGTCGGCTCGCCAGCTGGCGGTACCCCACTGGTTCTCAATTGGCAGTGACGGGACGGGGGCTGATACACTTCGCAGAAACATAAGCTCATGTGTCCCGACCGGCTCCATAACCATGTCATGCACAGTCTTCTTATCTGCACCGTACCACACCAAAGCCCTCCTTCACTCCCAGACAAGAACCAGGAGGGTATTGAGAACACTTTCGGTTTCAGCAGCGACGCTCCGCATTGGGCTCTGGCACGGGGATTGGTTCTGAGGTTGAGGCTTATGATCCGGGCATCAGAGGTCAAGGCATCTTGTGCGTGAAGACTTTTGAGATGCTATTCAGTTTGGTTCGGGTTTTTGGGCGTGAGGTTTCAAGGTTTACAACCAACTACACAAGCGCTACCGCTACCGCTTAGTCAACCCGGTTGAGTTTTTTTATTCTCGGGGACTTGAGCCCCAGGCGCAGTCGCGTAATCAGTCAGCTAAGGACATCAAAAAGTAGTTGTGGGAGCAGGGTAAAATCTACACCCCGCTCGCCGTGCAGCTCAAGCTAAGGCCGATCATTTCCTAGCTCACACACTCCACGTTGCCCTGGCTTTAAATGGATGCTTTGCCAAAGCGAGCTTGTATAAAGCACCATCCCACTCCGCCTAGCCTGGGTGTAAACCCCCGTGACGACGGGAGCGATGCCATGCGTCCCATTCGGACTGCGTGTATCCTCCATACGCCAGAGTGGCAGGCACTGCGGGAGACCCCTTTGGGGTTCCTTTGTTCCGTGCAGCCACCTGTCTCTTGGCGTCAGCAAGACGTTCCGTCTCAGCAATCTGGTGCTGGGCGCTTGGATGCGCTTAGCAGGCTGTCGCTCAAGATGTGGGCCAGCTCCTCAATCACGCCATCGCGATTCTCCGCTGTCATGCGTGCCTCCACGTCGAATGTTAGGACACGTCGTGCCTCTGGGGTGATCATCACAATGTCGGCATAAATGCTGGGTGGGAGAAATGCTCCGAGGTAGCAGAAGCCAATGTTGACAGTGCCAGCCTCATCGATGAGGCGGAGAGCGCGCAAAGGCTCCACATCGCTGTGGGCATAGAACACGAGTTTCCCAGTCCCCGGATGCATACTGCGAACCGGCCCGAAGAACAGCTGCTCCTCGTTGCGGCCGGGGTCGGGGAGACATGCCATATCCAAGCAGTCGAATTTCTGCATATCCTCCATGTTCTTGCCCTCCCGCAACATGCGCTTTTTGAAGACATCATCGTCATTGAAGCGCTTGGCGGCGACTGACTCATACCCGAGCTTCTTGGCTCGCGATGAGCGATCCTTTGCATCACGGATGAGTGTGGCTTCGGCTGACATTTGGCCGCGCTTCTTGCTGCTGACGTTGAGGTTCCGGAGATCCCAGGTAATGAGGTTCTCGGTGGGTTTATGGGACCCTGCGGCTGCTGTGGCGAGTAGGCGTTTCCTCAGACTTCGAGCATGCCCTTCGCCCGACAGCCTGGCGTTGCTTGCATGGGTAGGACCCAAGGGAAGCATCAGTGGTGTCGCTTTCCACCCCTTGCGGGTGGCTGTAGCATCGTCCATAGCATTTTGCTTGGACCTTCATGTGCTGCCTTAGCCTCCACCGCTGATGAATACGATGAGCTTGCCGCCTCCTGATAGTCCCCCTTTGCACGGAAAGGGCGCTCAGGCTCACCAGTGATTGTGGCTTCAGACGCCTCGGAGACATAAAGGGGCAAGTCCTTCTTCGAGGCGTCGATGGCCGAGATGATGCAATCTGCCGGGATGGTGCTACGGGAGAGCGTTCCATCCGGAGTCACGAAGAACTCACAGCCACTGGCGATTGCCTTGTAGGCCTCCACCGTGATATCCACCGGTTGGTTTTACCTCACGCCACTCTTGTACGCAGCGTCGTCCAGACCGAATGCACTAAGGTAGACATGGGCACAGCCTGACTTCTTAGCACCTGGGATAATGCCTTTCTGGAGGATGCTTTCAAGTCCCTGCAAAGACGCGCGACGTCTTTGGCGTCTCATTTCGGGAGAGGAC